TATATAATGTGTATTGTATATACGTCTTTTAAGGTATTTTATAAGTTATGCTATAGAATTGTGTGCGAAAAGATTTAGCAAATAGAAGGTAGACGCGAGAACACGGCATAAACAAATTTCTGTAAATTCTGTCGTTCCTTTTTATGAATTGTAGTTTTATTTATGATGTAAATAGCGAAGAGAGGAAAATTTATTTAATCGAACTTAATACCGCGTGACGTTAACACAACTGGCTCTTAAAGGTCTATAATCACAGCAGTTTGATCGAGATGAATCCGAGCTGTCAGGTGTGTCGCCTCGGAGGCATCATTGCATCTCGATTGCAACTCGGCGACGTGTCGTATACATTCCTGATTCGTTCGGGTCTCAAGTTTTTGCTTGATTAATACGCAATAAAAAATTAATAGATATCTTTTCAGAACGTGCACCGAGAAAAAGATACTTAAGAATTTATTTCTGGGATGTTTATTTCATTGAGATAAATATCTTACTTAAATATCCTACGGCGAAATAAAATTTTATTCTCAACAGGTAAATCTGTTTTATATTTTACTACTAATGAGATATACTTCACAGAAATATACATATATTACATTATCGCGATCAAATTAAAAAAAAAAAAAAATGAATAAATATCAAAGAAAACATTATAAGTAACATTTACTTCTGAATATTTTACTTTTTTCTCAGTGCGCGTTACATTTTAATCACTATTGAAAACAAAAGGTTGAGTAATAACAATATTATGTTCTAACAATATCCATAAAAATCTTGTGTCTTTCTATAATTTATCTTCAACATGACATAATTAGAAATTGTGCAACATGTCTACGTAATTTATTAATCTCCTATCGAGATTAGGTTAATAAAAATGGTACGAGAGAAGGCAATATTATATATAGAATCTTTTTTTCATAAGCTACTTGCGTGACTGCTTTGTACGAAGCAGCGGACAGATTTTAACGATGGGCCCTCTGATAAATGTCCCTTCCAAATAATCAGCATATTTCTCCGGGAATCTTTGACATCGGGAATCTTCCAGTTTTCTTTTTGCAAAATCACTTAACGATTACCGGTTGACCCTGATTTTCTTCTGGCAAATGATAGGTTTACACCGGGCACAACTTTTATCATTTGTGTACGCACCCGTCCCTTCCCAAGGTATGCCTGTACGTATATCCGACCGATCGGTTAGAAAGGTAGATGTGTGTGTGTGAGACAGACCAGTCGAGGTCAGTTAAATACACTTCGGGACACAACGCCACTTTTGGAGTGTCCGTTTATATTAAACCAGTTACCTCAGTCCCTCGTACGTTAAATCAGTCATCGAACCGAGGAGCCATGAATTTGAACCGTCGAGTCCATTCACTGCGCTCTAAAGAGCGTGATCAATTTGTTAGAATTCATAAACGTGCACGTAGTAGAAAGGTGGTTTTCCACATCTTTACAAACGGCTCCACTTTCTTTTTCACCGGAAAAATAGGATTGTTAGAGTTCGATTCTCTTTCTTTTTCAAACTTCGATAGCGAGATCGCTGTCGTTGATTTTCTTCTATCGATTTTTTTTCTTTATTAGCAAAAAGAAAATTGATTCTTCCCTCACAAACTTTACGTACCTCTAACACTGATATTTTGCGAAAAAGAGCACCAGCTTTACGACTGCCCCCGTCATTCTGACTGTCGCATTATTACCGTGATGAGATTCAGAATATTACATCGATAAAAATTCTCCGAAAGAGCAGCCGGGCAGACAGGCACGTCATGGGGTACTGGGTCGTCCCCCCATCTTGAAACGCACGCTTAAGGAAGCACTTTGGGAGCCTGGCAGAGTAATTGCATACAAGAGTCCGTCAAAGGCGAGCAACACGAACGTGCACACGAAGCACGACGCGTCGTCCCGGGCTGAGTCTCGGAGACGACGTGTATTGAGACGGAATTTCTCGTCGCTGCGCGCTGGTCCCAGCGGATGGGCGCATCTCTCGCACGAGAGACGATCGCACTTTCCACGACGAGTCCGAGACAATGCGAAGTTCAGTTTTTGCCGGTAGTTTGTTTTTCTTTTCCCCCCCTCGCTACGTTTATCCGGTCCGTTTACCTGGATTGCCACAACTGATTGCAAATTCAGGGACACCGTTCGCCGCTCTATAATCTATTCCTTTCTCCGTTTCCACGAATTGCTTTTTCATACGCAATTCGTATGAAACTAGTCGTATGAAACTAGTCTGGAAATCTAACTTTTCGGGAGTGTAAAGCGATCCAATTAAAGATACGAGAACTCGGTGAGGAGCCGTAATGTACGAGTATGTGAAATGGAAAAAAAAAAAAAAAAATCTCAATTTTACTTCGACGTGAAATACGCGTTGCGGAAAATATCAGCGATTTATAATTCTAAAGTGTACCTCTCTCTTTTTTTTTCCATTCATGTTATACATTTTTATAAAGCTATTAATATTTTCTGACTCGCAAGTTATGAAATCGACTTTCCGATTTTTCTTTTCAACTTTCTCTTCCCCTTTGGTCTCTTTTTTTTTTTCGAGTATCTTTCTTTTGAATAAAAAAATATTTAAATATAGTAAGAACGAGACATTAACGAAGTACGATTTTTATTGCCGTTTTTATTTGTTCTTTATCTTGTCCTTTATCTTTTCTATGTTCTAATAAAGCTTAAACGCTTGTTTTCCTTAGCGTGATAACATCTCGGCGTTAATTACTCCCCCACAATTATCTGACTCGTTAATGACCTTCGCGCACGAGAAAGTTTCGCATAATTACTTTCTTTCGTGGATTATTTCTGCTCAGCTAGATTTCTCGTGTGAAATATGGTGAAGTTTTCTGCATTATCTCGAGCGACATGTTTGTACAACATTTCCTTTCATTCGTTACGATTGAAAATGAGTATTGCAATGTTTTTTTTCTCCTTGAGTACAACGATGAGACACGTTACTCGTTGTCACCAATCTTGAACGAACAGAATTCTTCATCACACCTATCTAGAGCTGTGCTCAAACTCAGTATGTTGGATCAACGAGATCTGTTAATGCGAAACGAAATAAAGCGTATAAAGAAGTAAATTGAACTAGCAAAACGATACCGCGATAAAATTGAGGAAATGATATTGATATATAAAAAAAAAAAAAGGAACGTAACCGACGAATCTATCATTTCGCGATGTGTGAAAAACCCATCTCGTTCGTTTCCGGGATTTCGTTTTGATCGCAAAAGAGGGCTAGACGATGATGATGATGATGATGATGATGATGATTATTGCAAGACGTATAACACGCGGGATAATTTGCAGGTTTTCCGACGGTGTTAGCTCTCTTGGAGACATTATGAATCTGGAACGGCCAACGATGGACGGAGGTTGCGGACAGCAGCCGCTCTTCTTAGGCAGCTCTTCCGGTTGGGGCGGTATCTTTAGCCCTCAACAGTCGACCGTGCAGACTGCCAGCACTCCCTCAGAGCATTACGGCGGTCCACTGAGTCTGAGCATCTGCATATCCGATTCGGGTCACGAGATACTCCGTCCGAAGCCGCGGAGGTAAGCGCTTTCCTTACATTTCGCCGCTCAATGCTCCCCTGCATTAAGCGCTCTCGGTAATCGATGCCAATCTTAATGAAGATCTAATTAACGGTCGCCCGCTCGGCAGTCCGCTACGCATGATAAGGATCGATTAAAATCATCTAGAAATCGTACTGCGCATCCGACACACATTAAAATTAAATACCGTTCAACGCGTCATTTTTTTTTCGTTCATCTTCCTTGTCATTTTTGACTTGCTGTTATTATTATCCCAGAACGGGGCCAACAACTGACTGCGACTATGAGATGTACGATAGAATAAACTGCAAAAATTATTACTTGCGCTAACTGTAAATAAAATTCAAAAGAGACGTCTCTTAAACGTCTCGATTCTCCTCGGACGATTTCCAAGGAGTGAGAAAAAAGGAAAAAATCCTTTTCTAGTTATCTAGGTCGAGTCCTGTCACCATAAAATGCGCGGACGTAAGATTTGAATAGGAACGAATGCGTCAACTACAATAGATTCTACGGATAGGAATCGTTGAAAAGCCAGAGGCTACAAAGCCGAGGACGTTGAGCTCGCGTAGAGACGTCTCGGTTAACCTTTCGGGTCCTCGCACCTGCACGGTGTGCGAATTCCTGAGTGAGTTCGTGAGCCTCTACCGTTAAAGCAAAAGAGCGAAGTCAGTTGATACTTGGTCATAATATTGCGTTATTGTTCGTCGGCTACGCGATGTTTCATTTCTGAGATAATTTAAACTCAGACTTAACGTTAGCTTCAATAGCCCGATCCCACTTTCATCTTGGACTTTCATCTGACACACTTCGACAACGTACGTATCACGTATCACGAGAGAAAAAAAATCACAAATACTAACCAATCTTTTTTTTTTTTTTACTTTCTCAATTATAATACTCATTTTTTGTATATAAGATAGACTTTTAATATTTCATACGATTTAATGTCGATAGAGTATTTGATTCGTCAAATGTTGTTCAGTTGCTATTTTCAAGAGAAATTGACTGTAAAATATACTTATATCAAATTTCTTATTCTAAAAGATATAATCGATTAATAATAATTTATCATTTTATGCATGCTTATATATGTTAATAGAGCTACTATATATGCGCGTGATTGATATAATACAAAATAATTGCGTGATTATATGAGATTATTTTACATATATTTATATTGATTGCAAGTTTAAACAAAATCACGATTGAGTCGAGTAACGATAATCGCGGCAGATTTACAATAAAAATCTGTTGATATATTTTAATAATATCGAGTTAATCGCCGGGGAATAAGGAAAAAATGGTTTCGTTAAAGTATCTAAAAATTTAACTAGACACAAGTCTGTAAATAATTTTGTTAGATTGTCAAAATAATTGTAAGATATTTAAATTAGTTGCTAGAATATATCAAAACTTTTTGCAGCGTTGCTCGTCGTGAGCTCGAATTTTCTACATAATTATTTTAATGATTTAACAAAATTATTTCAGATCTGTATCTACTTAAATTTTAATTTTAGATACTTAAAAATGGTTCTTTCCGCGCACATTTTTGCTCATCTGCTGAATTCGATTCACGATGATTGTTATACAATTATTCGAATCAATAACTACTTTAAGAGCCAATATCTGCGCATTTGAACATATACTCACACGCTGAACCTTATTTTACGCTCGGCAACAAACTCATAAATTTGATTGTAGAACATCGCACATTGTCAATTACAACGCCCACTTTTTTGCGTATCGAATCGACCATGCCGGGATCGAGGATCGTTAAAATTTACGAGACACGTAATTACAGCTGATCCGATCTCGGGGGATCCGACGTCCATATGACATAGCTTGTCCCTCTCTCTCTCTCTCTCTTTCTGTTATTTTTTCATCGACATCACTTTCGGCACCCCGATCATGGGGCTTCAGAAATCTGCTCGGCATACAGATAAGACGTCTGATAAATTTAAGAAAGCCTTCATACCGCTCTCGTATGCGAAAACATCTCCGCCCTCCCCTTTGCGTTTTCTTTTTTTTACGCTAATATTATATTTATTGTATGTCAATTGACTGCAGGGCAGACAAATTTTTGAATCTTTTTCATCCTACAAGCCAATCAACGATTTAGAAAAAAATTTGTCATACGACAAATGTAATTGTATAATAATAATAATAATAATAATAATATCACGCGGCTTTACACCGCGATGAGACATGTGGAGATCTATTCTTTTCTTTGTCGACGAGATGCGTCGCGAGAAAACGTTCGGACGAAAGCATATACAACCGAACTGCAATGCATCCGAATATCCCGGCGTTTTGCCGGTACACTGGATATGCATTTCGCGCATTCTCCAGGATCTTCGACCGTGTGTCGGCGACCATGCTATTGTGCGCCGCTATTGTACGCCGCTATTGTGCGCCGCTCGTCCCATGCTCTAACGCTCGTTAGCAGAAAACTTTTACTCTCACCCCGCATCTCGTTATATTTAACATTCAATCGTCCGATTCATTTTCTCGGCGTGGCGGCGAATTAGGATGAAATAGAAATTAGCCCGCGCCATTATTGGCGTGCGCGCGCGCGCGATCGCGATCGTGCGAAGGGAGAGCTCGCTTTTAATTAGTTATCCGAAAGTCGGAAACTCGCGGGAAAAACGGCGTTATCTGGGAACGACGCGAGGCCGACGAGCTGCTGCTCGATTAAGAATGCGCACGAAGGGAAACGCTGATTCGAGGTGAATCTGCGGCAGATATTTGGGTTAATGACTCTTTCCGCCTTACTTCGCCTTCCTTCTTTCTTCCGTTGTATAGTCAATCTCAACTAGCTTTTACTCTAACAGCGTCGGGACTGTCGGGAGAGACGTCAGGGACGAGACGTATTCATTATCTTTGCGCGCATAGGATTGTACACAAGTTACTGCTGACGCTAATGATTGTGACCGGAAAGAAAGGTAGAGACATAAATAGAATCGAATTAATAGACAGAGCCTCGCTTTTATATTTTTATTGATCTACATCGATAAAAATATACATTGAAGTTTTTCAATCGATACGTTGCCGCATATCTGATGTGAAGCAAAGAATTTTTTTAGTTCTCCGCGAAAATTAGAAAAAGCAAAAAGGAGCAAAAAATTTATTATTATTTTTTGCGCTTTTCATTGGAAAAATTAATGCAACACTAGTGCACACTGAGTGCAATTGAATGCAAAGCAATTTAAATATTTTCAGTATTAACAAATAATTTAATCCTTTTAATTACGTTATTCTTTGTTGTTATCTATAAAAACTTAAAAGGATTAAATTATTTATTTTATTTAATCGATTAAATCGATTTGCCCTCAATTGTACCAGTTTTTCCCAGTGGAAAGCGCTGTTAAAAATAAGCGTGTAAGGTGCGAAATAAAAAATGTTTTAAAAATGATGGATTATCTACATAATATACGTTAATAAAATGAACATTTTAGAACTTTACTCGTTTTCTAATATTTTAAAAAATATTTATACGTTTTTTAAGTCATAACTTTTTAAGTCTCTGAATATTGATCAAATACATTTTGTGTCTTAAAATTCTATCACATTTTCGTCTAATTATGAAATTCATTTTGTTGACTGCTGGAAAATTTGACAGTTTTCATTTTATTATTTGACACTATTGAGTCTGAACAAATTTTTAATTTTAACTCATTTATGAAGAACGTATTACGAATAATTTCTACTGACCAATAATTAACTTCCACAAAAATGACTAATATTAACTTGACGATGTACCATCTTTACAGCAGAACACATGGATTATCAACTAAAAGACATAGTAAATTATTTTCTAATAATAACTTCATAGGCTATTTATTGTAACATTTTACCGCTAAATAATGTCACAATTTCAAACTCTATTTTAATTTTTACATTAATAATGATCGGTGTCGAAACATATGTTTATTATCGAATATTAAAAGTTATTGTTTAGCCCTTCTACTTTATTATTATTATTATTTTGTTTTTATTGAGCCATATTATTGTTCATATCATAGAACTTTACTTTTTATTTCTGAATGTCTTGTTAATGATGTGTAATAAGAGATCTATACTGAATGCTAAAGTGTGTGCATCTAATGATGCACCTCGAAAACTTTGGTTCGTTATTTAATATACTGCACAGAAAGAAATGTTTGAATTAACTGGGATTCTGGTGGAAAATAAACAATCCAGAATTCTAATTAGATTTACAAGATTTCTGATTCAATCTATTAAAATTCTAGTTGTAACGATCAACATTTAATAGATTTAATCAGAAATCTAGTAGACTAAACTAGAAATCTGGATCGTTCATTGTCCACTAGAAATCCAGTGAATTCAATCAAACATTTTTCTCCGTGTGTAAATTAAAAAAAAAAGTTGAAAAACATTGATCTGCAAGATCAAGTGGTCGAAAGAAAGAAGCAAGAGAAGCAGGAAGTTCTTTTACTTTTGGAGGGAATTATCTGATAATTTTTGTAGTTTTCTGTTATTACTTGGAAAATGATGAAATTTAATGCCAGTTGGATGATGGTTGCCGGATGATGAAGATTTACATACTGCAATAACATCTTCCGTTATCATCCTACTGTATATACATATACGTATATATTATATTTTTTGTAGTATAATGCTGCGCGTGATGGGAGAAATCCGAATACATGCAAATGGTAGAGCAGAGAGGATCTCAATTTTGAGGAATTTCCCTTAATTTCTCGCGCGTTCACTCCCATTCGCGAGAACCGTTAGTCGTCAAGCACGGCGGGCTTCCTACACCAGCTTATTATTAGCTACGCCCTACGCGAGGCATCCGAGAACCGGCGATTATTAAAATCTCCCTCTACCCCCTCCATCCTCCCTCCAGACATGCTATTACATTTCGATGCATTGCCGATCGTTCGCCGCCGAGTCGGATATACCTCTTAGGTGAATAATTAACCGCACGAGCGGCTTAACCCTCGCGAGGCAAAGCCGTGGATGCTGGCACCCTCGCG